CTAGGACCTACATTATTAGGCACAAGATCTACTGCTTATAATAAAAAAAAATGTTTTTCTGTTTCCAAGAAGGATCGTGTCTTTTTAATAAAAAAATAGAAGGTCTAAATCCCATAATGCATAGCAACTCAGGATTTCTGAAACGCGACAAAGAACAGGAACTTAACTTATTTTCAGGGTTCTTCGGTCATTTAATGATCTTGCTTTGAATGACAGAGTTCTACATTTTCAGGTGCTCAAAAGCTAAGGAGATTGAATCTTGAAGTAGCATGTGAAGATTTTAGTAATGTAATCGGTACTTCACCTATTGGCACAGTGTACAAAGGAACTTTGTCTAGTGGCGTTGAAATTGCTGTAACTTCTGTTCCGGTGACATCATCCAAGAATTGGTCAAAGACTTTAGAAGTTCAATTTAGAAACAAGGTATCAATTATCATAACAGAAGAAGACCAAACAAACTTAACACTAGAATTGCAATCTAACCATTGTAATTATAACTAACTTTTTAACCGTTATGGTTTCAGATAGATACATTATCGAAAGTGAACCACAAGAATTTTGTAAATCTTATTGGATACTGTGAAGAGGAGGAGCCTTTCACCAGAATGTTGGTTTTTGAATATGCCCCAAATGGAACACTATTTGAGCATTTACACAGTAAGTGTTTTACCATTTTTAGAGTAATTAGCACACCAAGTATAGCAACATGCATTCTTTAACACGTTCTAAATTATTGGTTAAACTTGTTGAAAACCATAAAACTAGTTATTGTTGTGTTTGAGTTGGTAAATTTGTTCTTTTGAGTGCCAGTAAAAGAGGCTGAGCACTTGGATTGGGTAACAAGGCTTAGAGTTGCAACGGGTATGGCTTATTGCTTGCAGCATATGCACCAATTGGACCCTCCTATGGCGCTTATCAACCTGAATTCTCAAACTGTTTACTTGACTGATGATTATGCTGCCAAACTCTCAGATTTTAGTTTCTCCTATGAAATAACCTCAGCTGAGACAAAAGCCATTGACATGCCAAAAGCAAGTCTAGAAACTAACGTTTATAGCTTTGGTGCTTTGTTATTTGAGATGGTTACTGGTCGTCTCCCTTATTCAGTGGAACAAAGGGACTCCCTTGAAAACTGGGCATCACACTATTTACAAGGAGACCAACCTCTCAAGGATATGGTGGATCCAATTCTTGAATCTTACCAAGAGGATCAGCTTGAACAAGTTGCTGCATTGATCAAATCTTGTGTGCATCCAGATCCAAAGCAGAGACCAATAATGAAAGATGTCAGTGAGAAGCTAAGAGAGATAACAAAGATAACACCCGAATCAGCAGTTCCAAAACTTTCTCCACTTTGGTGGGCAGAGCTTGAGATTGCTTCTACAGAAGTGCGTTGAAACCAGTGAAGCAGATTGTAGTTAAGTTCCAAAGGCTTTTAACGTTGTGATCCTTTTTCCATAAAGAGTTGTTAAAAAGAATCTATTTTTATGTTGTAGAACATGGTCGCAAATGACTTATGGGAGACCAAAAATGTGCAGTGATTTTCTTTCGGTGCAGCTTTTTATTGTAGTTTATGGAATTGCACTGAGAAGCAGTTTTTTGTGTATCAGTTAATTTCAATTCAGTTCATTAGGCGAATCAAGATATTTGCAACTCTTTCGTTCTCTTCAAATGTGTCAAACTGTCTATCATTTAATTTTTAAATATAAATTAAACACGGGAAACATGGTTTCTAGAATTAGATTTCAGGGAAAGTAAATTTTCCTTCGTCTTTAATTTTCACTTTTCTTCACTTCCCTTGCTTCTCCAATTTGTTGGGAACTATAAAAATGAAAACTCATTAATTCATTGTCTTAAAGTCTTGGATTAAGAATATTGTTAATCTTTTTTTCTGATTGAATTCAGGTTTTGTAAGTGTCATGTTTTCAACTTAGCAGAAAATTTCGTCGTTCCTTATATTACAGTAGGTCCCAAGCGAGCATCATTACATAGTGACTGTAACCTGTACCGAAGAGGGATCGAATCATATTTTATTAAGAACTTAACCTTGTAGTTTGTTAACTATTAGGCCATTGCCACTTTAATCTGTTAGGATTTGAAGTTATAAATAATAGAAGCAGAATAATAACAACATTCAATTATCATCAAATTATGCCATAAACAAATGTTCCACAATGTGCACATTATTGACAAATTAGGATGACACTGTAATAAACAGATTGGAAAAAAAAATACAGTCAAGATAATGGGTGAATTGTTGCCACTGTAGTAGTTAGGTAAATGTAAATCTTTTTCACATTCTTCTTCTCAAATAAAATTCCATTCTTCACCAATGATCGAGATGTTTTGTTGCATGCACATCTTCAACTCGCAAGAGTTATAAGTCCCAACATCAGAATTTCATCATAGTACATGATCTGTTTCCACCATATCAAATACGCAAGAGTTCTTCAAGTACACACCTATTCATGAACAACATAATTTTATACAAAAAAATAGCTTACTTTGTTGCAAAAGAAATCGTATCAACAATAAAGTATGTAAACTAAATAATTAGTACCATACCAATGTAAAAATGGTCAGGAAGAATACCTCAACTCTTCTAGTTCTTCGGATTCCAAGTTTGAAGTTTCAAAGACACATCACTTTAACTTTTTAGTTAAAGGAGTTTTTTTCCATACTCAATAGACTCAGAGCCCTTCACTTTATTTTGGACAGTGTTGGTTTCTATTTCATGAATTTTCCTCTTTCTCTTGGATTCATGCACTGTTTCTTCTGAGGAATAAATTCAACGAATAAACTTGTTTGATACGTTCATCCCGACCAATTTGAAGGTAACATTTACACCCAATAATTTCATAGTCTCCAGTGTCAGAAACAACTTGGTAGAAAATGAAGCCCAACAAATTTTTGGGAAGTACAATAGTGAACAAAGATTGTGTAAAGTGGTTATGAAACCAATCTCGCCATTTCTAGCTGGTAAATAGTAGCAATTTTGCTGCTTTTACCTGATACATAGGAAAAAGGTGATGGATAGAAATAAGAAGTATAAACTGTTTCTGGTGGTTGTTTTGCTGGAAGTTCAATTTTGACAATGGCATCTTTCAAAATTGCATCATATGAAAGCTCATCCAATTTTATGCAATTTGAGAGCAAAAAGGTACACTGGGGTATTTTAGATGGTTCAAGTTCAATGGTTGAATATAACATTGTTTGACAAGGAGATGTTGAATGGATTGCGGAAGTGCTGGTGGTACACACTGAAGCATTTTGCATCTTCCAACATCAAGAAGTTTGAGTCTTGACAAATATTTCATGTTTTCAGGTAAGCTTATGATGACACAACAATCAATTCTTAAAATTTGCAAAGCTGATAAAAATGATATGTTTTCTGGGATTTCACACAAACTAAGACATTTGTATGTTTTCTGGGAAAATTCCAAGAAATTTAGTATTTCAATTCATTTTCTTTATTAGAGTACTAATTTGAAGATCTTCCCTTAGCAACTGAAAAAGACAGTTTGTTGCATATGTAATTGAGTCCATGCTTTCTTGATTCTTCTGTAATATTTTCTAAGAAGCAAGATCCTTCGTATTGAGAAGAAACCCTATGAAAAATAGCAGCAGCAAGAGTTGTTTTTCCAAAGCCTCCCATGCCCCAAATTCCAATTATTTGAACTTTTGAATCATTTGTCACTAAAGATTCAATCTTTGTGTAGTTTTCATCATATATGAAAAGACCTCTAAATTCAATATTTTCGATTTAGCTTTTGCAGAACAACTTTCATAATATCATCAATCAACTCAGATTCAACTCTATATAATGAATAAATAAAAAAGTACATATAACAAGTTAGTAAATAAATTTAAATTTTAATAGAAAGTAAATCAATATTGAAAAGATAAAGAGCCAAAGAAAAAAAATAAAATAAAAAAAAACTCTTTATACACCACACAACTTCATGAGAAGAGAAAATAATTAGATCCTTAAATTCCAAAATTTTCTCCAAATAAGTATTCAAATATTTTTGTCAAATATTTATCAATTTTTGTTGATATCTAATAATCTCGACTGAAAAATTATCGGGATTACTGTAATGAAATTTGTCTAAACTGTATTTTGCTTCAATCTCTAAAACTCAATGTCATGATCTTATTTAGGGCCAAACTTAATTCTATCCAAAACTAATATAGTTGTTTGTTACAAACTTTCTATAGGTTTCATATGAAAAACAAAATTTCCGCATTTTCTATATTTTCATTATTTTTAACTAAATTTCATATAATAAATAAATATTGGCTGGAAATTATTTAATCAAATTTGGAATAAATATTAGAAAAGGAATGGAAATATTATCCAAGTACGAAATTATATTCCTTATATCCGCTGAAAAAAATATTAAATAATTAATGTTCAAAAATTAAAATAGAGAACCAACTTGCTTTCTTTAGTTATAATTTTTATTTCAGCATATGTATTATATGTATTATATATATATATTCTATCAAACTTCGTATTCTAGAGTTGATTAGACTTCGCATATTTTGGTAAAAGAGAGGAAGAAGAAGTAGAAGCCATGAATATGGTGTCATTTTGAGGAAGAAAGCGCTCTTATATAAGGAAGCACATGCTGCAAGCCAAGTCAACCATTTTATTTTATTGTCACTTGGTAATTATATTTTCATGGAGAAGTTAATAATGCTTTAGAGCTTGTGTATACGTGATTTTTTTTTAATTTATCAAAGTTCTATAAACTCGTCCTTTATTTTAATTGAAAAAAATGGAAAATGACATTATCGATTTTTCCATTTTTCTTTAATATATGTATGCACAATTGATCCTTTCTGAGTCTAGGTTTTGGTGATGAAACAAAAATTCTTCAACTTTATATCCGTTAAAAATGAAAAATATTGTATATATTTAATATGTTTTGAAAATGTGTTATTTAGTGTTTTTGTTTTTGTTTTTGTTTTTTAAATGCTGAAAGCATTTTCTAAAAAACGGCTATGCTAAGCCTGTAACATACTGAACCGAATCAACCACTAGCACTGAATCTTTGGCGACTTGTCCATGCCAATAACAATGACAAACTCTGAAGAACCCTCCCTTCCCAACCCTAACAATAACACTCAAGACTCCACCAACAGCGATGCGGAACCTCACCACCACCACGATATTGAAGATGATGAAGAAGAAGAAGATGACGAATACGACGAGGAGGACGACGTCGTTCAGCAACCGAATCGCACAATTCCCCAATCCGCAGCGTCCAAGCTGCGCGAGCAGCGTTTCAAGGTGGAAACCCTATCGCGGCGGTTGTCGTCGGAGCTTGTTCCGATCCGAGTGCATGACGTGGTCATAAACGGCAACACTAAGACCAAGGATTGGGTTATTGTGGCGGAGCTCGGAGGCATAGAGAACGCCACCAGCATGCAGGAGCTCGTGCAAGTTTCACAAATCGCCATTTCCAGGCTACAGGACCTCGAAATCTTCGATTCCTGCACGGTTCGCCTTGAGGCTGGGCCCCGAGAACTTCCAAACACTGCCAATGTCATCGTCGACGTTGTCGAAACCGGTAACAAAGTTTCAGCCAAATTCAGCGTTTATAACAAACCCTCGGTACCTTTCTTCCTATCATATTGATATAATGCATAGACTTGAACTGGATGCTTGTAACTTTGATTGAGGCATTGCATTGTACAGAAACGTATGTGCAAATATACGAGAGCCTATCAGGGGAGAAGTGAAGAAAGGAACTCTGAACATTAGTATTACTTAGCTAGTCAACCATAGATTTAATTGAAACTAACCTTGACAGTCTGTGGCAGATTAGATGGTCATGCTCTCACGCTTTTTATGTATATACTACTACATCATAGTAATTAGACAAAAACTTACTCTAGGTTCCTAAGGTGTTCTCTCTACTATTTTTCATCAGAATTTCATATTCATCTCGGTGTTTTATATAATTCTTCAATACAAAGCTTTATTGTGTGGATTACTGAGATGAAACTTCAATTCTGAAGAGAGAACAATACCAACAACACCTATGGAAATGTTTCTAAGTTTTGTCCGAACATTGTTTTTCCTGCTAGGTTTGAAGTGTTAACAAGGACAAGGGAATCTATTTTTTATTTGTGCGAAAATTTGTGTTTTTTGTAGACTAGTTCTTGGACAGCTGAAGGTGCTCTTACGTATAAGAACTTCTTGGGCTATGGTGATCTATGGGATGCTTCTTTGGCCTATGGTGCCAACCAAGCGACTGAGGTGAGCATCGGGGTGCATGCCCCTCGAGTTAGAAGGTTTTTAACTCCTTTTGTGGCACGGCTATCCATGCTTTCCCAAGATTGGCAAGAGACTTCCTCGTACAAAGATCAGTTAGTGGGTGCGTCTCTTGGGTTGATCTCGACCAAGCACCATGACCTAGCATACACTCTTGGATGGCGTACCTTGGCAGATCCATCACAGATGTCATCCAGGTCTATAAGAAGGCAGCTTGGTCATGGTTTAGTGTCTTCTTTGAAGTATACATTTAAAGTTGATAGGAGAAATTCTCCTATCAGGCCAACAAAAGGATATGCTTTTCTTTCCTCCACACATGTTGGTGGCCTCACTCCAGATCCACGGAGCTTGCGGTTTCTGCGCCAGGTGTGACTAAATTCTTTTATTTTCCTTCAATTAATATTAATTTGATACTATGTAAATTTAAGTACAATGCTTATACATATTAACACTCATGTTCAATTCTGATAAAAAAAACACGCATGTTCTATTGAAATCATCTTGGGAGTGGCTAGAATTTACAAATTGATGCGATCAGAAATTTTAAAATGATTTGATAGAATGAATATGTAAAGAAATATATGACCAAAATTTATATGGAAGGAGTTCATCTCCTTTGTCAAAGATATCTATTCTCCATAAGAGAAACTAGTCTCTGCATTTGGAAAAACACTAAAATTGCTTTTTCTTTTCTGTTTTTGAGTTTGTTATTTTCAAATCTATTTATTGTACAGAAAAGTTAAATATTTTTTTCTTAGAAAGTGCACAAATAAATGGTCACCCTATACGTCATTAGTTACCTTGTTGACATGATTCAGTTGGACTTTGTTGTTTGTGATGATAAAGGGGTACTAGCTAGTCGAGGCAATGCTTATGATTAATGATAAATTTGTTTATCTTTTGTTTTCATAATTGCTGTCTCTAGAACTTGATTGGTTGCTTATAGCGTTATTATTCATTGTTGAATTCAATATCCCTTAGTGGGACTGAAATCACAGTGCAAATGTCCAAGGAAGGATTTCACAAGTACGAGGTTCAAGGAACTCTTTCCCATTTGCATCCTATCCTGCATGAATTAGATGCAAAAGTGCTCTCTAATATTTTAACGTTTGTCATCTGTTATAGATGCTTTGTGTTTCTTGGATGAGGCTAACAAGTGCAACTTTCATCTGATTTTTTTTTTGTATGAAGCTAAACCTTACTGGGTAAATCTTACTGTATTTCTCATTAATTGAGACCTTGAATAAAATAATATAAAATAGAAACAAGAAATACAGGAATGAACAATCAAACTACCCCAAAATAGTTTGCTGTGTTATTGGACTTCATTTGACTAGCATTATGACGCTGTTTCTTTTTTCTTCCACTTGTTTATCTAGGAGTTGTTAGTTCATGGTAAATTGAGTTTTTAACTTATATTTCTTTTTCTTTACTTTTACGTCTCTTTAATAACTTTAACCGGTGGTGGGAAGATAGTGCGGTTGCCATTGTGTATGGCAAAGGAATCAGATACTACATGGTAGATGCGTGGCCTGCTCATTCTTTTTCTTGGTGAATTGTGTAGGGTGCTTTTGGTTATAGTAATTGTTGAGGATGGGGCAGCCTTTAAGGCATGGACTATGGTTACAGTAACACAACATTTGTTGAAGAAAACATCGTGTAAATGTTTTTTTCTGTCCTGAAATTATAAAGGGATGTTATAATAGTCGATGGGTTTTAACGCTGGGAAATAAGTCCCTGAAATTGAATTGCGTTTGTCCCTGTTGTTAGTCGTCCACTGATTCCTTTGGCCAATGTTTCATGTAGTACTTTATCTTCCGTTTTGACAGCTGACATTTTACAATAACACCTGACAATGTAAGGAAGAAGTAACCATTACTACAAATAAATGGGCATCCATGTATTTACCAAAAGGGCAGATAGCACGCCACTTCAAACGTTGGTTAATAAAGTTAGTGAATGACTATTTATAAGGACTAACTTGACCAACAGAATTCAATTTGAGACTTATTTGCGAGAAAGTTACATGCAGAGACTATTATGATAGTGCTTTACAATTTTGGGGACAAAAGTGACGACATTCATTTTCTGTTCTATGTTATTTTGAAAACTCTTTTTGTTGAGCAACTCTATTAACTCTAATGTTCTAATGCAGGAGTTTGATGTTCGCTTTGCTGTCCCTTTTGGGTTTTACAATACAGCATTGAACCTTGGGATATCTGCTGGTGCTGTTTTTCCATGGGGACATGGATTCAAATCCAAGCCATCTCCCCTTCCAGAAAGGTTTTATTTGGGTGGTGATTTTTCTCCAGTTTGCACCCTAGGAGGGCCAACAACCTTATGGGGATTTAAAACTAGAGGATTAGGTCCTACTGAACCTCGTAGGCCAAATAGAGATGAATCCGATGATGACAATTCCTCTGGATGGGACTTCATTGGTGGAGATCTTGCTGTTACTGCTTTTGCTGATCTCTCGTTTGATCTTCCAATTAGGTGGTTGAGAGAATATGGAATACATGGTCATGTTTTTGCTGGTTCTGGGAATGCTGCTAAATTAACTCAAAATGAATATAGGCACTTCTCTCCTCGGAAGTTCTTGGAATCTTTTCGAGTGTCAGTGGGATGTGGATTTGTTATTCCTACTAGCCTCTTCCGCCTAGAGGTCAGCATCTACTTTAATTCTTTATTTTTAATTAAAGTAGATGCTGACCTCTAGGCGGAAGAGGCTAGAGGTCAGCATCTACTTTAATTCTTTATTTTTAATTAAAAAGATCGAACTAACCAGAAGTTGAGAGTTTGTAGTGAAATGTCAGTGATGACAAAATAGAGGATTTGGAGTAAACATGTATATTTCGACAATAAAGAGTGTGAAGAAAAGAAAAGACAAACATAGAATTTTTTTAATCTTGTAGTCACTGGTATAAACGATTTTCCCCTTTTTGGTCTTCTCCCACATTTAATTTTGAACTAACCACTTAGGACATGTTTATGTATTTATTAGCAATATGGTATGACATGACATTTGAATTCAGCAAGGTAATTTAGGTGAACAATCTGTTGAATTGATAAGTTAGCATTGTTAGGATTATTTCTTTTTTGTGGTACCCATCTCCTACACTCCACCTTACCTTTTTTTTTTTTTTAATTTTCAATATATGTATTTCTTCACCAACTTGTAACTTGTTTCAGGGTAACTACGTTCACATACTCAGAAAGGGTGAGCAAGATCGTGGGAAGACTGGATTTAGGTTTAGTTTCTCAGCTCCTTTGTAGCAGCCGTATTCTCTGCCATTTTTAATTCTATTTTGATGTAGTTCTCCAATCATTAAATAATTTTTTGCCATCTAACTCAGCATGGAATAAGAGGGCATCCAGTCATAGCATATTTTCTTCCCGAAAATAACGCACTCTATACTGCAATTTTAGATGCATTGCCACTGAGAGTTCGTAACCTTTTCCGGCTTGCTTGTATTGTAAAGTGTATACCACTCTTTTATTGGTTCAGATTTCATCCGTGTGGAGATTTTTTAGTCATATTTTGTTTTTTTTGCCTTTCTTGTGTGCATAATAAACAATTCCATTTAATTAGAAGTACTTGATAAAATTAGTAATTAAATTTGAAAAAAAAATGTTGGAAAGCATAAAAAGTAATAATGTTTTTAAAATCGAAATGGAAATTGCAGCAATAATATATAGTAGTGATTCAAGATTAAATAATTAAATTGCTAATAATTTAATACGGCTTTTATTCTTAATATACCACATCAAACAGTAATAAGAAAAAAATAATACAATGTTTGTAACTTCGTGATGTCAAAATTAAACTTCAATTACAAATATTTTTACTTCTAAATATAAAATTCAAAACAAAACCAAATCAAACATATCATACCATTTGAGTGTAATATAACATATAATACCCATTGAATTTTAATATAATTACATAATTAAGAGAATACCTCAACTCAACCACATCAGTTTGAATAGAGTAACCACTACCGTCTAAATTTTAATATTGTGTCACATTCTGTAGAATAAAAAATGAATCCAAAGTCTTCAACACCAACATAGTTAATAAGTGATACTTATTTACAAATTTTCTTAACATCTTCATCAATATTTATCAGCAATAATTAGATAAGACTACACAGAATTTCTCTGTGCATTATTAATTTAATTTAATACAAACTTCATTTAGAATTATTAAAAACAAAGTAAAAACAAATAATTAGTCGCAGAAATTATAATATTTTTGTATGAAGTTTTTTCTTAGTTTTAAATAGATAGAGGTAAGATATTCTTCTAACAGGGATTATTTCCTAATCAGCAGTCATTTGGGAAAACTCCAAAGCATTGAAACCAAAAATTGTAAACAAGAAATGATGAGGTATTTTTGAAGTATACCAATTTCATTCACAAAATATACAAGTGTGAAGTGATGTGAATATCATCATCAAACAGAATGATGAGGCTGAGAGCAGCACCTATTGAGGAGTCTGAGCAGTGCATCTGCTTTTCTTCTAGCTCTCAAAGATCCATCAGAAGCCAAGCTTTGAAGAGAAGGAATGCTTCTTGGATTTGCCAAGAGTCTTCTTGCAACCACTTCTCCCTCTTCTTTGCACAGTCCAAGCAAAAGGGTTATTGAATTTTCCTTCCCTTTCACTGAACCAAATCTCAGAAGATCAATGAGAAGTGGCACCAATGCTCTACTATTTCTTATCTCTTCCAATCCCTCAGAGCAACCGAGGAGTGAAGCAAGCACTGCAAGTGCATCATCTGTTATGCCAGCCTTGTCATCCATCAGCAATTCTACCAGCACAGAAACTGCACCAGCCTTAACAGCACTAACTTTGTTAGGATTGTAAACTGCTAGATTGAACAGTGCAGACGCAGCATCTTTTTTCCCTATTGAAGTGCCTTCTTTCAAGAGTCCAACTAAAGCAGGTATTGCCCTTGGTCTTCCTCCAATGTGCACTTTCAGCTCATCCACCATACACAAGCTGTATATTGCTGCTGCTGCATTCTCCCTTGCCTCCATGGTCTTCCCTGATTCAAGCACTTCTACTATGCTATCAACTGCTCCTGCTGCCATGATCAAAATCTTGTTGTTGTCAAATATGGAGAGGTTGAACAAGGTTGTCACTGCATGCTCTTGAATTCTTGAATCTTGAGATCCCAGAAGTGTTACAAGAAAGGGAATGGCCCCTACTTCAGCTATGACACTCCGGTTGACCATGCCGGTTTTTGCAAGTAACCGAAGTTCATATGCAGCTTGCCTTTGGATATCAGCAGAACCAGTTGCCAATTTTCCAACAAGAAATTCTGCTGTCATTTTGACAGCATCTGCAGCAGCTTTGTTTGCAGAAATATGGTCGATGGCCTCCTCCTTCGAGTTCTTCTTGTTGTGGTTGTTTCCCTCGGTTGAAGGATCATTAACTGGGACATTGTTGTCATAGCACCATTGCTGAACAAGGCTCTTCAATGCATAGTTGGGTATTAAAGCAGTGTGAATTAACCTTTGCCCACTTTTGGGGCATGTATGATGACCAGAGTTTATCCATTGTCCAATCGATGTTCTATCATATGTGTGCCCAGATGACACAATCACGGGGTCCCTCATTAAGTCAAGTGTTATTGGACAACGAAATTCATCAGGAACATTAGGTGTCATGAACTGAGAGGATGAAGAACTATCATGAACTTTGTTATACAAAAATGAAGACAGTGGCTTACAATCTTCTTCATTTCTACTACTCTCTCCATCTCTGAATATCATGGTTTTGGAATAAGACACCAACGATATGAGGTTGTTTATATTGGAGACAATGATGAGTCCTCCTGTGCCAGCTTGGTTCTGAGCTTCAGCCTTTAACTTTGATATTTCTCCATCATAATCTGATGGGGTTCTCAGACCATTGCTGCTCAGTATTTCTTCCACTTTTCCAAACTCAACAAACCCTTTGTTCTTCTTCTTTTGTAAACTGTTGTTGGCCATTGCTAGTTTAAGTTGTTCTCTTCGATGAAGCTCTCTAGGATCAATGAATAACTCAGCCTTCTTTGCTTGCTTGTGAAGAAGCTCCACCTGTTCCCTAATATCTGATGTTACATTGAGCAAACTCAAAGGAAGAATATCAAGGGCCCTTCCCATCTCCTTCACCAGCACATAAAATTGGTTGGAAATGAACTCTAACTGTATCAGACTCCAAAGAGAGCTTCCATCTTTGCAGTCTTGGATCAAAACCTTAACTCTTCTTATCACAGAGAACAGTTCTGTGAGACACAGGACTGAAGAAGGAGGAAGTGGAGTACCCGATTCTTTAATCTCTTCAAACAAAGAAGAAAGAAGCTTGATCCTTCTGATCATGGATGAAACGTTTCTTATGTGTACGAAGGGAAACTTTTCCATTGAGTCAACTTCTTTGGATATATGAATCAAAGAATCTAGCAGAGACCCAGATGGTAACAAGCCTTGGGAGACCATCATAGCAGATAGAACATCATTCATTGTGAAGAGGATGTTTTCTTCATTCTCATGCTTCACACAAGTTTCTCTCTTCAAGGAATTGGATTATTCTGAGACCTTCTTAAGGCACTTTTTTTACATTAAAATAATTGTAAAAGAAGTTAGCTATTTGATTATTAAATGCATCGTATTTTTGGCTCTTTCTATTTGTGTAGTTTGTGCTAAAGACAAGAACAAAAGTACTAAAGAGAGTTGAGCATTACCTGGGGTGCTGCCATTTGGAGGATTCTCCATGCGTGCGAGATTAGTGGTATTCCTCAGACAGTTTTTTATTCAAAGATTAATACTTTGAGCCATTTTTCAATTCAAACGTGAATAGTTTATGATAATGAGCCCTGTTAAACAGCTTTCAGTTGCTTGGTTTCTCCACCTTTGAAAATCTTATTCACGAACCAAATGAATATTTTTCATGCAACTTGTTATTTGATAAATGTGCATGCCAACAGATGCATAACATTTCATTTTCTTGATCTGTCGTTTGAGGAAAGTAAAGCATTATACGTAGATTATGACTCCTGAAATCCTCAACGGCTCTTTCTAAATCATCGTGCCATCCACTTACCATTTCTGATGTCATGTTTGTCTTCTCTACCATAGAATCCAAAATTGCACCCTCTCTAATGTTCTTGCTTTTGCATCATGTACTAAATGTCAAAGGGCAGAAACAGGTAATAATTTGTTTATTATAAGTATTTGTTTCTCATGAAAACACCATTGGTAAATGGTTATAAATTTTTATAAATGTTGTGAATATTAAGATGATTAAATGTGCCACATTTAGTAAAGCTTGAAAAGTTTTACTATCACTTTAGAAAGTTTTAATCTCAGTTTAGAAGATGTAATATGTAAATAGATACAAACATCAGTTTATTAATTTATTTTACGATATTAAATTAAATTTATAATTCATTTTCTAATAATATAAATATACTTTATAAGATAAGATAAAATTACACTAGTTTTGATTAATATACTCTATGACCACCCGGTCAATCAAGAATCGTCGGTCAATCATCCAGTGAAATGATATGGGTTCAAAACAATCATTAATTGATAATTATTTTGAGCAATAACAGTTATTAATAGACAGTTAAGAAAAAGAATAATCATTGACTGAAAATTAATTAGAATAATATTAGTAATTAATGGGTTAGACCTAATTGTAAGCTTATTATAATATTTATAAATATATATTTGAATAAGAGGTCAGGTATAATTTTAACTCTGATTACTCATCCTTATTACATAATTATTGAGTAAATCATTGACTTGGAAGTCGAAGTACCTTTGACAGGTATCCACCCCCACCACTAGGATAATGAGAAGAGAGAACAAACAACGTAACTTGAAAGATAAATTATCATCATTATTACATAATTATTGAGTAAATCATTAACTTGGAAGTTTGAGTGCCTTTGATAGGTACCCACCTCCACGACTAGGATAATGAGAAGAAAGTGCGAACAACGTACTTGGAAGATAGATTATAATCAAAAAGTTCATCCGGTTTTTAAAACAATTTTGAATGCTTTGAGTAATCTCACTCCATATCCGAAACAACTAAATTTTGTAAGATTAAGTTAATTTTTTCATTTTTTTTTTCATTTTTGAGGATGTTGACAAGGTAGAAGCAAACATAAAAGACCCATATGGGTGATAAAATCAATGAATGAGATTATAATAAAAGTGGAATTTTGAAGCAGGAAAAGTTATGGATGACTCTAGTAAAAAAAATTATGTTTGTGGCCGGTTTCTGGGCTATGTAGGTCAAACTTTTTGGCAACAATTTGTATAATGATTTTATGATTACATGTCACAAACATGTAAAGCTAATGTAGTTTTCTATATAGCTATGAGGGTAGGATAAAGATAGGGGAACTTATTTTAGGCAACTAAGAGACCACTTGTCAGTTTTTTAAGTTTCTTTGTCTGCATGACCGGGACAACAATTTTAACTTACAAGTTTCAATGTACCAATGTTTAAATATCAACTCATTAAAAAAAGTAACAA